GTGTCCTAATCTTGATTATGACATTTTGAATTAGGCTGATTCGACTTGTGGATTATGCATACATAATAAGAGACGCTTACCCTGTCGACGTACCGAGTCCTTTTCCTTCTGGAGTTTATTCGATTGCCTCAGTTTTTGATTTTTCGCTTGATTTGTATCTTCTTGATAGATTTTTAAGATCTGCTCATCGGTAAACTACTGTTTCCCCGAATTTTCACAATTAACAACATTTAAACAAATACAAATAAAATCAAGGCTTAGAAATTGCTGTTGCAGATAATTTTGTTATACTTTTTTCTTCCCATTTAAAGTTGTTGTATTTAAGGTATACCCACACCGAAATCAGAGTTCTCGAAAAGTGGTGGTTCGAAGGTTTCGACCACCAAAATTTTGCGAAGGACTGACACAATTTTGGTATTTTGCAATAGAAATAATAGTGAGGACCAGCAGATTCTCTTTAAGGACCACCACGAGGAAAAAGATTTAGAGAACTCTGACTGAAATATAATATCTGAAAGCTTGTTCATATTGATACTTTCAATATATTGTTGAATTTTTATTTACAATATCCTTCTCATTAAATTTTTTAAACACTAAACATTGCGGGAAAAGTCAACCAAAACTTCACTTCTAAGTTTTCTATATTCATTTATTTTGATCAAATGTTAGGATCTATTATGTAATGATAAACCTCATATAGTATACAATTACGTTGTTAGCCTGTTATACTATAAATTTAAGTAATGATTTAGGGACTTTTTGAAATTAACACTGCTCGTGCAAAAGTTTCAGCGGAAAATGACCTGACTTTATTAAAAACAATACCAGATAATCTACACAACTAACAAAAACATTTTACATAGTGGTTAAAGCAGTAATCTCATTCTGCTTTGCTATTTTCTAATGTCTTACTAACAGAACTTTTTTTTCCTATTCTGTTTCAGAGATCAAAAATACCTAATAGCTCCAAAGTATAACTAATGTGTTCATACATAAAATCAAATTGCTCTGTATAACAGGGAGTAGTATATCAAAGCTAATTAACAAAAACATGTCTTTCAATAATACATATAGCATCAAACGATAATTGAAAAGTTTTGTTAAAATTAACAGAACAATACGCCAAATGTGGGATTCAATAAATAATAATTGGCCATAAATTTCTGGATAAAATATGAACTTTGAAACAATCAGTTTTTTTAAACAGATTACGTTTTGATGCGAGTATTGCTGAAACGCAAGATGTCAAGTTTCATTACCTTTAAAAGACGGTATAACACTACACATTAGCATTAATGAGCTTTTAAAACCAATACTAACCAATTAAATCAAAATGGAAGTGATTAAATATTATTATTGATTGCTTGAATATTGTCAAAATAAACTATAGGAAAACTAATAAAGTTTTGGAAGACACTGGAGAGATGTTATTATTGAAACGTAAACAAATTTTATCATCAGTGTATTATGAATCCTTAATTCTTAATATTAATGAGCAAAAAACGTTTTATACTGATATTTTTGGCGCACGGTACGCCTTTCTGAAATATTTAGAGCCAAAATCTGTTCAATAAATGACTATAGGAGGGTTGCATCCCTGACTTAAGTACAATTAGATAACATACGTTAGAAATTCGAAAATAGGATGATACAGATTCATGACCTAGTATTTTGTGACACCAACATGACTTGAATCGCACGAGATAAAACAATTAAAAAAAGTCAAAACTCTTAAGAACTAGAGTAAATTAAAAATTTTCACACACGAACTGAGATACGCTTCTACTGACACCGTTAGAGCAGGAACTGCTGGCCCTTTTGGAGTACCAGAATTTACCACGGGTTTTGGTGGTTATCGTGTTGGTCCATTTTTAACTTTCTAGCTAGTGTCTTGCAAACTATTTGTATGAACTTCGTTTGATCATGGCGTGTTTCATCTTCATCGACTCGTGGCTTTTATTGCCTCCTGTGCATCTCCTTCTGTTTTCTTAACTATTGAAGCTAAAACCTATTAAACAATCTAATGCCGTGTATTTCTAAGTATTCCAGTTATTTATCCATTCCACAGTATTTATTTCGTACTCTTTTGTTCAATAGTGATCTTCTTCTTACGCTTCCGTAATACCTGAGTTCAACCCCTGGTTTTTAGTGGGATTCTTTTTGGTCAGTCTTTAGTTTTCTGTTATGTGTTTGGTCATTCGACTAATGAGTATTGATAAGCCCCGTTGTATCATCTGCCTCTTTTAAAAGGTGTCACGAGTTTTAAAACGGACTTGTGGTAGTTGGGCATATAGGCTATTCTTTTTAGTCATGAACTTGCCAACGACATTCAGACTCATGACTGGTTCTTTTGTCCTGATTTATTTAAGTTTCTGTTTTGTTTTACTAATTTGAAGTAATATCATGATTATGTAGCCAATATTAAAATAATCGTTTTCAATTTATATTCATCAACTAAAATATTCTTGTCATTTGTAATAGTTGAATATGTCTTACGGATTTGCTGTTTTTCGTGACACGTTTTCAGCGAATTCAATTAAGTGAAGCTACAAAATGTGACAGTTTCCCAACCAGTTTCAATCTTACAAAACTGATTTGTTAATCAAAATTACTCAATCCCGAATGATTCCGTTTTTACAGGAAAAATCATTTTTGAACATAATAAATTACGCAATATTTTGTGGTGAACATTGAAGTTTGTAACTGAGTAGGTACAAATTAAAACTTAAGTTTGTAATTCTAATTCTTCTTTATTCCTTCTGCATTTGATATTGATATTAGAGCTTCATTTTATTGACCTCTGTTTTCCATCAATAAAGAATTGGAAAACCCTAAGAGCATTTTTTAATATATGTACTATCTTACTAGTATTTCAAAAGCATGTTATTGTTTTACTTAAAGTATAACTTCAATAACCCACATAGTATAAACCGTTTTGATCATTGTTTAAGACGATATGGTGACAAAGGGCGTTAAATAACATCCCTGTGGATATGCTTAATATAAAAGAAATATGTTGAAACATCAATCTCATTTTGACTGATTTACAATTTGTAATTTTGAAACCAGTGGGGAAATCCGACAGATTCCTCATTTTGTATTGAAAAATTCGGACAAAGTGCAATTTCCCCAACATTAAGGTACTTCCCGTTTATTCTTCATTGAAGTAAAAATTTGGGAAGAAAGCTGTAAGTTTTAAAGCGATATCACGGAATATTAGCTTCATGAATTATTACTAGTATTTAAATTTCGGAGTTTCGAATATCAGACTGTTTGAAAATATAGATTCAACATTCCAAGATTTCCAACTTTTTGCTAAAAAATCTAAGTCAATTTACACCTTCTAAAAAAAATAAAAGCAACGCTCAAATTACTCATGAATAACATTTGATATTTTGCTTAACATTTAACCTTTCACTTCTGTTTGAGCTCTTGACCTCACTTCATACGATAGATTACCAAGCCTACTGCGAGACAAGAAAACATCATCCGAAGGTGATTAATTTGATGCAGCAATAGCTACTCTTAAAATTTATTTTAATCACAAAGAATGTTAAAACAAATTCGACAGCTTTTAATCTATAATGCTGTAAAGTGAGAAGTTTTTGTGTTTTTATTTTTTGTTTTGCAATTTTCTATTTATCCCAGAATATACCATCGCGTAATTTTATTTTAAGAAATATCAGAATGTGCGTCACTTCACCATCTAATATCTTGACCTTTATGAGCAACACGACGGGTGCCACATGTGGAACTGGATCTGCTTACCCATCTGAAATCACCCCGGCTTTTTTGGTGGTGTTCGTGTTGCTCAGTTTTATTTTCTATTTTATGTTTTTTGTGCTGTTGTTTGTCTCTTTGTCATTTTTCATTTTTGGCCATGATATTGTCAGTTTGACTCGACTTATATGAGTTTGAATTTCCGTTTGGTATCTTTCGCCTCTCTTTTACACCTCGAACTTGACAATAAGAATAGATTGAGAAGATAACTTTAAGAGAAAAATAAAAGCTTTCAGCTTTTTTGCTAACTTTTTATTGTGAACTCTCAAGTTCTATGTAGCAACATTTCAGCAGAACTTGCATTTTGAGTAATTACCTCCAAGTTGATACAATATTTCAGAGCTTGAGGGTCTCATCATGACGGCCTTGGTAGATATTTGATGTTTACAAGGAAGCTATTGAACTAAGGGTTCCTAATGGTATAGTTGACATCATCCCTTCGAAAGTCTTACGGGCGCCATCATGATTTGGTTGACGTTATGGCATTCCTGTGTCACGGATGACCAAGGATATGTTTCAAATGGTGTAGCCACAATCCCGTCCCGTACTTGCAATGAGCAACTCGACGGGTGGCGCATGCGGACCATTATCCCGCAAAAAATAAAATCGTCTGCTTTGGTGAGGTTCGTGGGGCTCAGTATATAGTTTTATATGTAGTATTTTGTGAACTGTATGTCTTGTCATAGTTTTTCGGGTTTGTTTTGCAATGGTTTTGTCGGTTTTTCTTTGACATGATTTTTGTCTGCCCCTTTGGTGTCTTTTGTCTCTTATTAACAGTATTCAATTTTGCATCACTCAACTTAAAAAATGAAATGGGTAGTGATTAAACTCTAAGGATTATCCAACGATATTTAAGTTTGTTTTGAAATATAACGGTTAGAATACACCAAAACAAACCCAAAGAAATAAATAAAAACCCATGCATCTTATAAAAAAAGAGATGTGGTATGATTGCCAATGAGACAACTATCCACCAAAGTTCAAATGAAGTGGATATAAGCAATTATAGGCAACCAAACGACCTTCAAAGATGAGAATGTTCTTTTCTTCTTCATTGCCTAACAGTGACCTCTGCTTGTTTAAATCCTCTTTGTTTGATCTTTGGTAAAACCTAGTTTTGATGACAATCATACCACGTCTCCTTGTTTTCATATTCTTCAATTTAGAAAAAATTTTGCAAAAAAATATGCAAACCATAACTTATATTTTTTCCATTACAGGTCATTTGGAATAAGCCTGAACAGTTATAGTATAAATCGGAAAAAAAATATAATGGAGGGATACTAGTTCAAAAGATACGGATTTGGTTCTGGAGTCGTTGTGTGTATGTGTTTTTTAACTATATATTATGAATACATTAAAGAAGGCACGCTAGAATATTAGGAAACAAACGAAATATTAAATATTTACGTTTCACATTTAATCGTCTATATCCTTTGTTAATTTCAACTTTACTTTCGAAGATTTTTGTACATTCCTCCTTGATAAATGGATTTAATTCAATATCCAATTGAAATAAGTATATAAGAGAAGATTTATACAATATACTCTAGTTTTATTTAGGAAATCGACATCTAAGTCAAAAAGCGAAGACTGAAAGATAAACGTCAGCATCAATCAGTTATAACACAGTTAAAATATTCAAAGAAATTTTTGAATTAATCGAGTAGAACTAATATGATTGACTTCTAGAAATTACAAAATTGCTCATTGTGTAACCGAACTGTATTGCATTCGTAAACAAAACATATAATCACAAAGGAGACAAGTTAATTTGATTTATCGTCAACCACTTCGGAGGTTAACCTGGCTTTCCTCATATAAAATATTACTTTTAATTAACATTCTAAGGAAGTTCCTTAATCATGGAACACGTTCAGAATTGTACAGTGCTTACAGTGAATACATCAACAGACAATTCAACTTTCATAGAAATGGCAATGAAAATAGAAAGGATGCAGCAACTGTTATATGGAGTAATCGTTCCAATGGTTTGTGCCTTTGGGTTTGTTGGTAATATCCTAAACGTAATAGTATTTACAAAAAAGAAAAGCAACAAGACGTTAGATGACGTTGAATACTGCACAACTATATGCCTGGTGGCTTTGGCAATATCGGACATGATGTTTTGTCTGACAACTTTCCCGAATGCGTTTCTGTTACAACGACATCTTTATCAGAGGTCAGAATTCATGCTTTATTATCGGATGTACAGTATCACTGTCATAAGCACATTTATTATGAGTAGTACAATGATGACAGTGCTGACTGCATTTATGCGTTACCTGGCAATCTGCCATCCGTTCCGCTCCAGACAATTCATTACAATTAAATCAACAATAACCGCCATTGTGATTGCATATCTTATATCATTTGCATTCAACATACCGTACATATGGCGTTTTCGAACGGTAAATTACTGCATAAATATAGATTATCTAGTAACAATTGAGAATGGAACTTTATTTTTTAAAACTACGTTTGTTTATGTCTACAAAATACTTTGGGCTATATGCGGAAACTTTATTCCACTGATAGTACTCTTGTATTGCAACATCCGACTGATCAAAGCATTGCATTTGAGCAAACAACTACGCTTACTCCATAGTCGTGACGACACTTCCTGTCTATCTGCGCACAGACGAATAAACATTACCCTGATCACGATCATCATACTATTCTTTATACTGGTGGCTCCATCAGAGATAACAAAGTTTATCTTTTACATCATGAAAGAGCATACAACAGATTTATACACATACAGAGTAGTTTCTGACGTCACGAATACACTACAGTCTATTAACTTCTCGGTCAACTTCATTCTGTACTATGTGATTATTGCTCCATTCCGTAAAACCCTCCATGAATTCGTGTGCGCATTTAAAAGACCAAAACGTAACACAATGACACGTGATCGTTCTTCAAATAGCGGGAAACAAACCGTTGTATTGTTATCTATCAGAGATCCAAACAAGTTGTAAGAACAATATTATTCTTTTTTGTTTTATTTTCAAAATAAAAGTTTATTTCAAATTTTGCAAAAAATCTTTATAGATACTGTCTGATATTCAGCTGCAACAAAAAGTATATCATAAAGCATTTGTCCTACTATAACAATGATTTGATTTTTTTTTATATTTCAGTAGGCAAACAGGTGTCTGTAGAATAACTATCATCAGGTCATATTTCGTTCGAGATCAAAAGTTTGAGAAGCCCCGAGAAATTCATTTTGGAAAGTAAAAAACAAAACAGACGAAAGCGTCTAGGATCGAGTTCATAATTTATCCACATTGGACAGCAGCATGTTTCTAATATAATTAGAGGCTCAAATAATTTTGCATTAAAAATTTGCAAAAGCATTTCACTAAGCATAAAGTATAGAATTTTTAATTAAAAAATGGCATGATTCTTTTATCAGCAGATTAATTACTCAAGATTACAAACATTAACGGCGAGCAATCTGGAATACAGTATTACCAATATTGTTGAACTTTACCAATTGTTTTGTCTCACGTAAATTTAGGCAACAGTAGTTTACCGATGTTCAAATCTTGTAAATCGATTCAACAGAGACATAGCAATGTAGTAAACAAAAACTGAGGGAATCGCACGCACTCCAAAATGAACAAGACTTGGTTCACTATGTTATACCGATACTATAGAGTAAAAGGCTTTTACTTAAAATCCTTTTTATCATATATATACATTTTTATGTCGGTGGAGTTCTTGACTCATTGACGTTTACTTAATCTCTCCCTTTTTCACACAAATGTCATTATTTCTGAAATATTTTTTATACAGATTGTCAACGCCATTAGTCATATAAAGCTTATATGAATTTCTTATTGTATTGTAACCATGTATTTCTTTCGACCGAAAAAAACCCCGATGAAAATGAGGTTTCCCACAGATTTTAGTTAGAACATAACCGACGTCATTGTCGTAATATTTTACGACAATACTTTGGAATGATTCATCTTTCCAGAGTGTCTCCAGATCATGATTGATAAATATTATGGAATGATTCATCTTTCCAGAGTGTCTCCAGATCATGATTGATAAATATTATAAAAAGTTTCGTACTTTTAAAGAACAAACAGACAATCCGATTGTAATGTTCCCTTTGCGAAATAAATGAGTAATTCCCATAAAGGAACATCTAAATATTATTCCTGCAACGAGTAATTCACACTCACCCATAATTTACAAAAGGAAAATGCGAGATGTTAACCGGTGGTACTGGTCCAATGCCTAACGTTATATAAAAGGCCTATCACTATGTAAACACATGATTTAACATATTTTTCACAGCAAAACTAGAAATCCCACATATACATGAATATCATTCCTAAAAGTGTAGTTGTTTATAAAATCACAAATTCGTAAATAACTCCTTTTGTTCTAACATAAAAAAAAAAAAGACAACGAAAATCTCCAATCTTTGAACTGGACACCTTTATACTCTACAACAATCCTGACAAAGAACGATATACTGCCGGGTCGTCAAAATGTTCGACTAGACATCTTTTTAAAGTTCTTACAACCTTTTTTTTCTACAGAATAAAGATGGTCTTCAGAAATATTATGATGAGGTATATTCAATAAAAAGTGTCAAACAGATGTGGATTCTTCAAAATTCTACAGATCTACTCCAAATTCGTCAATCACATTCTTTATAATTAGTAGTAATTGTAGTAATATCTAAACCTTTGATGTTTCACTACTTTTCTCATGCTCAATTGAACGATTTTATACAAAAACGGGAAACAGACAAAATTCCTTGCATTGGGACAAGGAAAACTCTTACCTTGTGAAGAACTATGATGACTCCCACAACAAATACACCAATGATAATATCATCAAAGTGCTGGCCTTTTGGATCGACAACATATTTGTTTGGGTTGTTGGTTAGATATTTCAGCAGACAGTCGTAATTCCTATGGTTCTAATTGTGCCTCCCTTCTGGCCGATTTGTTTTAGTACTCATATGAAGCAGAATTCATACGAAACTGTCTTCAAGATAAAAAAAAAAAAAGAAAAAAGAAGCTGTTCTGTCAGTCAATAAACAACATTTCAATGAGTGGTTCTACCTCATATATCCCATTGAACTTGATATAAAGGATATTCTCAAAATTAGAAGCCTGCTTCATATCTTTCCTTGATATTGACACAGGTGGGCGACTGCAAACAAGAATCAATCAATCAAACGTCAACTTTCCAATTGTCATCTTCCTTTTTTCAGCAGTAATATACCATCTGATCCGTCGTATGGCTATACCGTATCTCAGTTAATACGTTACGTTCCTCCGAATTCAAACTTTGCTTAGTTTACAGGGGTCTGCTGCATTCACAACAGAGTAATGAGGAGGAACAACTTCATTCGACATTACATAAGTTTAACTTTTAAACTATCAAGAATTAGTTGACTCAACTCACTAGAGACATATTTCGCTGGCTTAGATCTTTAGATTTGTAATTTTACCGATTGTGACATTTTGACTCAATGTGGATTTCCATGGCGGGTGATTTATGCATAATATAACACGCGTACCCAGTCGATGCAACTGGTCTCGCTCGTTTCGAGTTCTTGCGATTCCCTCAGTCTTTGTGTGTTACATTTATTTGCCTCTTCTTAATCGATTTACGAGATTTGAGCATCTGTAAAACTACTGTCGTCTGAATTTATATAATCTCTATAATTCCTTCTTCTGTCTTTCCAATACGCTGTTTGATTGCTATATTACGTATCGACTGATTGTCTACACAATATCAAACACTATCATCATATTTCTTTTATAACGTCAACATACATGGTGTACATTGTCGAAATCGCGATGTGTACTGGGTCGACACAGTATCGATTGAATATTGTTTACATTGCGGTTTTAGTACATTGACATCGTGTTGTACACATGACAATGTAATCTCAAAAAGTTGAAGATAGGAGATAATAGTAATCAGGGAATATATTTTCTATTATATTTTATCATTTTTGTCAGTGTTCAACAGTTTCTTTTTAATCCATTCAGTATCAGTTTAAGTAAGAAAACAAGTCACATTTAGTATTATTATCATTATCTAATTCAGCTTTCTTTTAACAAATTGTAAATAATATAAATATCCTTGTGAATTACAATCAAAAACAAAAATAAAGTGGCCAGCAACAAAACTTTGGAGATAATAAATCACATGAACTAGCACTCTTCTATCATTGTCGTAATATAATTATTTTCAATTCATTCGTTGAAATGCAGATTAACAAAAAAAAGTAAAAATAATTCCTTTGATTATGGTCAAAACGAAAAGTAAAATATCGGTAGAAAAGAGCAACATCATATCTGCTTGATTCAAGTCGAGAGAAAAAAAATTGGATGCATTTATCGTTCCCTCGGGTAACATCTAATTGAGAATAATATCGCTTAAGTGAAAAATAAACCAAAAACTAAAATGATAAATAAGCAAAATCAACGTTGTTTTGGTTCAGTGATTTTTTTTGTGGTTGATGTCTGTTTAACGTAGACGCACTCTATCATTTTATTCATATTTGGCTACACATTTACATAATAAACTATTTATTCACAAGTGTAACCCCGCTACATTCTTTATGTGCCTGTTCAAAGTCAGGAGCCTGTAGTACAATGATTGTCGTTGGTTCATGTCTGTCATTGTTTTTGATAAATCAGGTCGTTTGTCTTCTCGTATAAATTGTTTCATATTTTTCTCTTCAGGGCCTTTTATAGCCGACTAAATGGTATGGGTTTTACGCATCGTTGAAAACCGTACGATGGCCTATTAATGCCTACTACCTCTTCATTTTACCTCTGGTGAATAGATGTTTATTGGCAATCATACCACATCTCATCATTTTAATATGTTATCGATCCTTTAAAATGTGAATATAATGGGTAAATGAATCTAAAACGATTTTGTCAACATCGCAGGAACAACGAGGTAAACTATATGGATTTGGTAAAGGAAGGAACGTTTAATGTTCATACGAAGTCAAAAAATTATTGCCAACATTGCAATGTCGACAAATATACGACGTGGTCAAAATACATTTTTAAAATAAACAATAAACTTTCCAGTAAAGCATTTTCTGCATTCCTATCTATCACATTGTCTCATGACAAGTTGGAGTAAAATAAAAATTGAAAGAATATTCAATCTTTGATGACTAAATTTGTGATAATATATGTACATCGCATTGTAGTTGAATAGTATGGTAGTTCTTTCTTGAATTGAACCGCCTCCATGGTCTCGTGGTAGCGTGTTCGCTTCGAGTTGGGATTTTCGCGAGTTCGAACCCCGTCCGGGTCAAACCAAAGACTTTAAAATTTGTATTTGCTGCTTCACCGCTAAGCACGCGGCATTAAGGAGTAATTGCAAAGACTGGTCGGCTCTGAGTGAAAACATTGTGATCGGGTAGAGTGACATGTCTTCCTGCGGACTGTTACCTTGAGAGCTAATACGTTAAAAATTCGGCTCAGCTTGTCGGTCTAGTACAAAGGAGGTAAATATGCATTTTATTTGCCACTGGACGTTAAGCAACCATCCATCATTACCATTATCTTTCTCGAATTGTAAATTCGGTATTAGATTTGATTACATTTTAAATGTCCATCATATAAACAAAGTCTTATCATATACTCTTGTTTACCACATCAACATAATGTTATTGTATTTCTGAACGTAGCTAAATTTCTATCATGCATCAAAAATACAAATAAGAAGGGAAATGTAATGTTTGCTTACAAAGAATCTGAAGTTTTTAGAACATTAGCATTGAAAAGATTTAATCTTAATCATCATATTTAATGATTAAAATAAACATTTGGGTAAATGTAGATTCTTTATTTGAAATAAATCGCTTACTACTTTGTCTTGAATCTTCTAGGGAAAAACAATTTACAAAAATGATGATACGATATCATTTCTATAAATTATCAGAAATGATCAGAAAAAAGCATGAAAGATAAGAAGTAGTTTCTGTGTGAAGTAGTCTTTTAAATATATAATATTAAAATCTAAATTGTTT